GTGGGTTGTCAAATGAATTTGATGAGTCTCAATTTTTTTTTTAAATGAAACAGACTAAGTTAGACTCTAAAGTATCAGTGTGCAAACAAGGATAATTATTATAGCATGATTTTTTTTAATTTTATTTTTATTATTGTACTTTAGATGAAGGATTACAGATCAAACTAGCTTCTCATTAAACAATTAGTACACGTATTGTTTTATGACATTGGTCACCAACCCCACGACATGTCAACACTCTCCTCTTCTCGACCTTGGGTTCCCCATTGCCAGCTTTCCTGTCCCCTCCTGCCTTCTTGTCCTTGCCTCTGGGTTGGTGTGCCCATTTAGTCTCATTTCGTTTTATGGGTCTGTCTGATCTTTGGCTGAAGGGTGAACCTCAGGAGTGACTTCGCTACTGAGCTAAAAGGGTGTTGGGGGCCATATTCTCAGGGTTTCTCCAGTCTTTGTCAGGCCAATAAGTCTGATCCTTTTTTTTTTTTTTTTGTGAGTTAGAATTTTGTTCTACATTTTTCTCCAGCTCTGTCCAGGACCCTTTACTGTGATCCCTGTCAGAGAAGTCGGTGGTGGTAGCCAGGCACCATCTAGTTGTACTCGACTCAGTCTGGTGGAGGCTGTGGTAGTTGTGGGCCATTAGCCCTTTGGACCAATCCTGACCGCTCACAAGCTTTTAAGACCCCAGATAACGTGAATTTTTTTTGCTATAGTTTAATTTGTGCATGTGCCCCGAGGTATGCTGGAAAAATTTATTTCTTGCTATGCGTCACTATCAGTGGTCTGAAAGTTACTACACTGGTGGAAGAAACAGACTCAGAACCATGTCAGTACCTTTTGGTGTACGTATGATGAGAATTTCATGTACAGGGGCCTAAAGAAGAATGGGTATTTGCATGTGTGCGTGTGTGTGTGTGCGTGTGTGTGTGTGTGTATTTGTTTTCTCCTCGTTTGTCTTGGTTCTAACCACCTGTCTTAGGCTGGGTTCTCTAGAGGAGCAAACCCAGTGAAGCACATATATAAATATACACAGAGAGATCTATTTCAAGGAAATGGCTCACGCAGTTGTGGAAGCTGGGTTAGGCGGCAGGCTGGAGGCTTCGCCTGACTCATGTGGTTGCAGGGGCTGATGAACCCAGAATCTGTAGGTCAGGCACAGGCTGAAGACTTATCACGTCTCAGGAACCAGAGGTCAGACAACAACGAGTCAAATGCAGGATGGAGAGAGAGCGAGCCTTGCCAGAACATTGGTTTACGTCATGAACGCAGGCCACACTCCCAAGGAAACTCTTCTTCCAACTGATGGGCTGCTCACGTCAGATCACAAAGTGGGAGGTGATACAGTGTCTGCCAAACCTCTGGGAATTATAGCCTGGCCAAGTTGACACATAACATTAACCATCATACCAGCTAAACACTGTAAAATTTCCCTGAACTGTTTGCCTTTTTCTCCAGCAGTCGACACTATCTCGCGTCCTTTGGTTTGGTTGTGAGTATCTTCCTGTTGGCCGAAGCTCGTATAATAAGCTCTTAACGTTTATTCGATGGGACTGGCTTTTCATCCCTGGTCCAGACTGCCCAGCCTGGCTTCTTTCCTTAACCAAAATAAAAGAGTCCTTACCCAGCTAATATGTCTGTAAAAACACGTGGGGCTTGCTAGCATCAGTAACCACGTTTGGGTTCGCTTGAGATGGCTTTTTGGAGTCAACACTAAGTATTATAGTTTCTATTTTTAAATATAACATTTTCTTTGAAAGCTTACCCTTCTACCCTTCTTTTGCCTTCTCAAAAACCATTTGCTAAAAGGGCATTTTTTTTTTTTTTTTTTCAGAATGCTTACTTAATACCAAATTCTTCTTGCTAACTTCCTGCAATGTGCTAGGAAAATCCAATAAGCTCACCTGTTCTGCCAGTCACAGGGCCTTGTATAGAGGTAGCCCTCCAATGTCAGTTTTTATTTTATCAGTTAAAGAGAGAGAGGAAATAGAAAATACTGCAAAGAAAGTTTACTTCTGCAGTTTTCATTCCAGAGTCCTTTCTTACTTCTACTGGCACAGTTACAACTTTTTAAACCCTTTTACTAAAGCTTTATGCAAGTTTCTAAGCATTAAAAAAAAATTTAAAAATTAAAAAAAAGACGGAAAAGAAAGTCCCATCGTGATCTCATAACTATGGAATTCTCTGTTAGTATCTTGATTTTGTACTTTCTTCCACCTTTTACTTGAATGTTCGAATTTGTCATTTAGCATAACCTATACGACTCTAAGGAGCCCTGGTGGCACAGTGGTTAAAGCGCTCAGCTGCCAATCAGAAGATCAGCAGTTTGAGCCTACCAGCCGATCCACGGGAGAAAGATTTGGCAGTCTGCTTCCATAAAGATTAACAGCCTAGGAAACCCCATGGGGCAGTTCTGCTCTGTCCTGTAGGGTCACTATGAGTCAGAATCAACTTGACGGCAACATGTTATACAGAATCTAGGTTTTCAAAGCATAAACAAGAATGAGAAGATCTTTTTATTTTTCCCTGAAAACAAGAATATGTTGTAAAGTTCCTGGGTAGTACAAATGGATAAGGGCTCAGCTACTAACTGAAAGGTTGGCAGTTCTAGCCCCCCCACAGGTGCCTCAGAAGAAAGGCCTGGTGATCTGCCCCAGAAAAAGCAGCCTTTGAAAACGAGCTGGAGCACAGCTCTGCTCTGACACATGTGAGGTTGCTGTGAGTCAAGGTTGTCTCTGCAGCAACTGTATTTTTTAAGGTGGATGCTATCGTGTGTAAAGATAGATAAGATAGCACACTGAAAATAACACGTAAATAATAACCAGTGAGGGAGTACTAAATGCAGAATCTCGTTTAATCCCCTCAGCAAACCTGTGAGATAATGAAGCAGTTTACTGGGACTCCCCTAACAGAGTGCTACAGGCTGGAGGGCTGAAAACAACAGAAGTTTATTCTCACGGTTCCAGAGGCCAGAAGCCTGAAATCAAGACGTGGGCAGGGCGTGCGTTCTCTGAAGGTTCCAGGGGAGAATCTGTTCCACGCTGTTTCTTAGCTTCTGGGGCTGCCGGCAATCCTCGGCCTTCCTTGGCTTGTGGACGCATCACCCCGATCGGTGCCTCTGTTGTCACCTGGCCTTCTCCCTCTTCTAAGGACACCAGTCACGTTGGGTTAGGGTCCACCCTATAACCTCATCTTAACTTGATTACATCTGCAAAGACCCTATTTCCAAACAAGGCCACATTCACAGGTACCGGGGTTAGGACTTCACACACACTCTTGGGGGTCAGAATTCAATCCATAACAGTTGGGACCTATTTTTAATCCCCGTTTATAAGTGATACTCACTGTGTGAGGGTTAGCAATGTGCACACAGTCACATAGCTCTTAACTGGTAATACCAGCTCTTGGAACCAGGTCTTAGAACTGTACACCAGAGTCAAATAAAACTAAGGCCATTAAATTAACAAAAAGAAATTAAACAGTTATCATGTGCTCGGCACTGGGGAGAATGTAAAGGTGATTAACACCTGAAGCGAGAGCCCACTGTTGATGCGTTTCCCTCTAACGGTCGAGAGCCAGGTGCGTGGCAGCGGCTGCGGGTTCTATTCTAACCAGAGCTTAATGGGGAGCTAAGCCAAATGCTAAGGAGCCCTGGTGGCACGACGGTGAAGAGCTCAGCTGTTAACCGAAAGGTTGGTGGTTCAAACCCTGCCAGGGGCTCCACGGGACAAAGACCTGGCAATCTTCTTCCGTGAAGTTTACAGCGTAGGAAACCCTATGGGGCCGTTCTACTCTGTCCTGTAAGGTTTCCCTGCGATGAAATCGACTGGGCGGCAGTGGGCTTGGTTTGATTAGGCTTTCAACCCTGTGGAAGAGCTGGGGACGTTGAGGGATGGTTGCAGGCTAGAGTGCACAGAAATCAGAGGGGCTGCCAGAGGCGAGGCAAGATCTGTGGCCAGAACAAAAAGGCTTTGGATACCATGGGAGAGACGGGTAGGAAGGCCACAGGAAGCTGAGGTTTCAAAGTCAGGAAATTATACAATGAGATGTGGATTACTCTGTGGGAAGCTGCTAAGATAGGGAAGATGCTGGAGACAAGGATTCTAGACAAGTTGTTCCTGTAAAGATCTGGAGGTGGTTGGCGAGGGCCTGGGCTAAGGGAACAAGAGTGAAGGTTGGAAGGAGGGAACAAAGTCGTTTCAGAGTCGGGACTTGGTGATGTGAGTAACGAGCGGGAGGAAGTGCCGGGATGATTCAGTTCACTTCAGAGGAAAATGATCACTTCTCTGCCCTAGGTCAGCCTCTGTGCCGGGCACGAGGGATGTGCTAGGATTAACAAGGTCATCACTGGCTTTGGGGAGCCCAGTCTCTCCTCTGTCAGAACCCCATCCAAACCCATTGCCCTGGGGTCCGTTGTAACTCATAGCAACCCTATAGGACAGAGTCGAACTGTTCCATAGGATTTCCTGGCGGCGTAGTGGTTAAGAGCTATGGCTGCTAACCGAAATGTAAACCAGCCGCTCCTTGGAAACCCTATGGGGCAGTTCTACTCTGCCCTGTAGGGTCGCTAGGAGTCGGAACAGACTTGGCGGCACCCAACAACAACAATGTAGGTGCTGGACTTTTTTCTGTGAAAGCAAAATCTAATGTAGACCACTAAGTTCCTCCTTGTGTTAGGACTGGGAAGGAGAGAGAGACTGGCAGAATTCTGGGCAGGCCAGCTTCCCTACAGAATGAGTCCCTGGGCAACTGATAGCACTCTTCCTACAGAGCTCTGGTGGTGCAGTGGTTAAGCACTCAGCTGCTAACCAAAAGGTTGGTGGTTTGAACCCACCCAGCAGCTCCTTGGGAGAAAGGTCTGGTGATCTGCTTCCATAAAGATTACAACCTAGGAAGCCCTGTGGGGCACTTCTGCTGTGTCACGGGGGGTTGCTATGAGTCGGAATCAGCTCGCCGGCACCCAGCAGCGCAGCAACACGTGTAGTGAGCATTTACTCGCTGTTTTTCAGAGTGGCGACTCGGACGAGGAAGATCTTTGTCTCAGCAACAAATGGACGTTCCAGAGAAGCAGCCGGAGGTGGTCTCGCGTGGACGACCTCCACACGCTGCTTCACGGAGGAGACAGAAACGGGTCGTCGGGAGAGCTTAGGATGAGAAACACGCCCAGCAGCGAGAGCGTGCTCACCGAGCTGAGCGAGCCCGAGGTCTCCTCCGTGCACAGTGGGAGCAGTGGGGGCAGCGAGGGCAGGGGCCCCCCGGGGGCACCCAGCGCTGGCCGCGAGGCCTGGGACTGCCCCTCGCAGCCCTGCGCAGAAGGCCCCATCGTGCTGGATGCCATGTCTGTCAGCAGCCACCTCTCGCTGTCCCACAGAGACACCGCCAACTACCCTCTCCACCCAAAGAGTGAGAAGCCAGGGAGGACCAGAGCCAAGTCGTTTCTCAAGCGCATGGAGACCCTGCGCGCCAAAGGGACCCCCGGGAGGCACAAGGGCTCAGGGCGGACAGGGGGCTTGGTGGTCAGCAGGCCCGTGCTGCAGCACGTGTCAGAAGCCTCTAAGGCCGTGCTGTGCATGCAGCTGCCCAACGGCGACCTCCAGAACTCGTCCCCGGGGGCCTCCAAGAAGTCCAGCAAGTCCAGCAGTGAGTCAGAGATCAGCAGCAGCAGAGTGAGCATCCCTGGCCTGCAGGAACGGAAGTGCCACGAGGCCAGCAAGCGAGGGGGCATGTACCTGGAAGACCTGGACGTGCTGGCGGGGCCAGCGCTGCGGGAGCTGGGGGGCCATGCGCACGCGTTCCATTCCCAGGAGAACTTGGTCGTGCATGTTCCCGAGGACCACAAACCGGGGACTTTCCCCAAAGCTCTTTCCATCGAAAGCCTGTCACCCACGGACAACAGCAATGGGGCTAACTGGAGGGCCGGGTCTATCTCTCTGGGCAGGCAGCAGGGCCCCAGTGCCAGGGAGCCCAGGCTCATGGCCTCCTGTCCCAGAGAGAGCCGGGTCAGCATCTACGACAACGTCCCCAGCTCCCACTTGTACGCCAGCACCGGAGACCTGGACCTGGAGAAGGATGATCTCTTCCCCCACCTAGATGACATCCTGCAGCAGGTCAACGGGCTCCAGGAGGTGGTGGATGACTGGTCCAAGACCATCCTGCCTGAACTGCAGACCTGCGACGGGCTGGCTGCAGAGCCTGGGGCCGCCCCCTTCCCAGCTCCTAGTCAGGTCGCCTTCGATTTCGAAGGGAACTCGGTCTCTGAAGGCCGGACCACTCCCAGTGATGTGGACAGAGATGGAACCTCTCTGGTTGAGTCCGACGCCCCTGGCGTCAGAGAAAGGAGGGATTCCGGGGTAGGGGCCTCGCTGACCAGGCCAAACAGGTTGGTGGCAATTGGGGAATGCTTCTTAACCCACTTCCTATTAATTTTGTTTGTAATCTGTTTGTTTTTTATTTTTCTTCATTTTTTTATGTTATTGTTTGTTTTATTAATTTGTTTGTTTATTTATTTAACAAACATTTCCTGTATTCCCAGAGGCCCTGGGTGGTGCATACTGACCGAAAGGTTGGTGGTTCAAGCCCACCCAGAGGCGCCTCAGAAGAAAGTCCTGGCGATCTGCTTCTGAAAGGTCACAGCCGTGGAAAGCCCTGTGGAGTGCAGTTCTACCCTGAAGCACATGGGGTCCCCACGAGTCAGCATCGACTCAAGGGCAAGTGGTTCGGTTTTCTCGGTTTTGTGTCTTTTGCGCAGATCTGATGGTGATTGGATCCAAATTGATTCACATTTTCCCTTTCTTTCAATCTGATTTTTATTCAAAAAAAAAAAATTTTTTTTTTGGAGCTTCTTATATGCCAACCACAATGCTCAGCCCTGTAGGGAGTCTCAGGTAACTGAGACCCAGGGCACTTCCTGTGACCTTACAAAAGTGTTCATTGAATGTCCCCACCAAAAACTTTAAACATTTTTTTATTGTATGAAGAACTTCTGAGATCTAAGGTGCATACTTCCTAAAATTGGTTAGGCTTTAAAATATCCATTCTGCAGTACATCAAAACTGGTTTACAAGGGCCATTTCAGCACCCCAGAAAAGCGGCCTTGCAGGGACCTGACTGCGAGAAGCAGTGATGTGGGTGTGCTGCTGGGTGTCAGTTGAGGAGTGTCTCTCCCTGGGGGCCCTCTGACGTGCCAGCAGTACAGACACCTGCCTTACCTGTGATGCCACCTCCAGGGCCTTCCCAGCACCAGACAGGAGTAGAGCTGGAGACGTAGAAGGCAATGGGACCGCCTGCTCGAGCTTCCAAACGTTTGCCGACTCACTGTCCTGCTCACTCTCTCCTCCCAGACTCTTTCTCTCTCTGCCTCTCTCCTCTCTTTCTATCTCTGTCTCCATTCTCTATCTCCCTGTCTCCCCCTTCCTTCCCTTTCTTTCCCTTCTCTCTCTCCTCTCTCCCTTCTCTCTCTC